CTCCTCCTCCTCCTCCTCCTCCTCCTAGTCATCACCCCCCTCTTTGCCGCCCCCGAGTCACTGCTTGACCCGCGGCCTCGCGGGCTGCACGCTGGGGCGCGCCCGCACACGGAGGAGCGCGAGGTCCCGCGGGCGCGCCCCCCGCGCGGGGCGGCCGCGCAGCGCCGCCCTGCCTGCCTTGGGGCCGCGGCCGAGGAGGCTGCACGTTACCAGCCTCGAGCGTATCCCTATCCCTAAGATTGGCACGCCAAAAGGCGATGACAATCTTGGGGATGCGCCCTCAAAACGTGAGGGAATCCCTGACATCGGCATCGTGATGAGGAGCTGCCCAGCATAGGGACAGGGATACGTTCCAGGCTGGTAAACAAGGAATGGCCGTGGTTACGTGGCCGACTTCGGAAATCCTGACCCCCCCCAAATGGGAGAGAACGATTAACAAAATAGTTTTCTGCTATCTCTTCTGCACAAGTTTCTGACTGGAGGAGAACGATTAGAAAAAATACTCTTCCGGCCCGCGGCCGGTTCTTTCCAGTCGTCCTCCCGGGCGCCGCCGCGGTGACCACGACCCCCGGTCATTTATGAACCGTCATACTCCATTACAAGGAATGGCCGTGGTTACGTGGCCGACTTCGGAAATCCTGAACCCAAAAACGTTTTCATCTTCTGGGGGCAAAGATCATTTCCTTCCGCGGCCCCTCCGCCGGCCTCCGCCCACGGCAGGCGGCCTCGTTGTACTTCCGCCGGCCTGCCGCCGCCTTCCGCCGAGGAGGAGATGCCAACTCCTTCGATCCTCCAATGCAGAGCCCTTTCTGGAACGCTCCATGTGATTTCCGCTCACGGTCTCCTGAAAGCGCCGTACAGGAGCAGCAACACAAACACGGCGAAGAACAGGAACATGCACGTGTTCCCGGAACACTTCGGGGTCGCCCGCCAAATCAAGAGCGGGCTCTTGAACACCCGCTTTGTAATCCACAGTATCCGTATGCGGATGCCGTACGGTACGAACAGGAAGAACCCAAGGACGAGAAGGACGAGGGTTGTCACAGACACCAGTGCGATGCCGTACCACGTCATGACGAGCCAGTACATGCCGATGTCCTCCTCCTCAAGCATGCTCTCGTACCTTTCCTTTGTCCTCTCGCAGATCTCAGACTTGTCTCCAGTGAAATCTGCGAGCAACTGATCGGGCCCTGGGTGCCCCAAATCGAACAGGCCGGACGAGGACACGGAATCCTCTTGACACATCGAGTATACGCCACCCGCGTCCGCCGGGTACCGGCACGCGCTGTAGTACTGCTCGCACGACGAGCGGCAGAGGGGCAACGACGCGTACTGGTCGTTGCACTTGGGGAAGTTGTACCTCGGCGGCGCGCAGAAGGAGGTGGAGGGAGGGGGGAAGGCTTCTTAGAAGGAGGCTGCTTCTTAGAGGGCGCCGGCCTTACATCCATAGAGAAGGCCCGCGCCTTCTAAGAAGCAGGGGTGCTTCTGAGAAGCCCTCCCCCCTCCCCCACTTCCCCTCTGCGCGTGGCCGAGTACCAGCAGAGCACGTTCTTCAGGGCCGTGAAGCAGGCGGCGTTGGACAGGAAACGGAGCTCCACGTACTCGTCAGGCGTGACGTTGACCTCCCTCTTCAAGCGCTCCTCCACGAGAACCTTGAACATCTCGCCGATGAGCCTGTCTTTCGCCGAGGTGTTCCAATTCGGCCACAGGGGCTGGTCCGCCGGAACGCAGGCGGTGTACTTGACAGCGTCGCCACAGAAACTCATGTCTGCCTAGCTGGGGAACGCATTGGCTTCCAACGGCCCACATTTGACCCTGGCGGCCCAAAAGTTACGCCCGCGCCAATGCAACCAGCAGACTCAGGAAGGGGCAAGCTTGGGACACATCTCCGAGCCAGTCTGAATACGCACCTTCTCGATGTTACTAAAGCAGGAGTTTCCACGAGACCCGTTCTTGCATGGCAGCTTTTCATGCGCGGCAGAGAGCACATCGCGGGAGTGGCCCGAGGCGCCCTTTGTGTTACGCTCGGGTGGCCATGCAAATTTAGAGGATGCCCACCTCGTCCACGACTCTACCATGGGCGACGAAAGCAAACTAGCTATGCCGCACTATGGCGCGGCTGCGTTACGCGACGACTGCAATGTGCTCAGTGCGTGTACAAACTAATGCAATATGCGCAGCCGTAGATGATCAGTTTGTGCCTTTCTTCCTCCCCTCACTTCTCCTCCTGAACTTTTTATGTTCTATCTTGCCGAGGCGCCGTGCCATAGGCTGGCGCATGGCTGTGATGTAAGACGGCCCAAAGGCCCCAGATATCGCCCCAAGAGACCCCCAAGAGCACCCCCAGATGGCCCGAGATGGCCCCAAGATGGCCCTAGAGGCCTCCAAGACGGCCAATCGAGCTCCAAGAGTGGCCAAGAGAAGCTACATAGGGCAAACACGTACTGACGTTTCGATAACTTCGCCCCAAGAAGGCCCCCGAGACGGCCAGGTCCCTAAGAGGCCCCACGAGCTACAGGAGGCCTCCAAGAGGCGCAAATCAGGCCCAAGAGGCCCCAAAGAGATCTCCGAGAGGCCCCCAAGACACCCCAAGACTGAATCCGAGAGGCTTCCGAGAGTACCAAGAGATCCCCAACGGCATCCCAGAGGCCATTGACCTACAACCCAGGCGCGGTGGCGGCATGGGCCGAAAGGCCATTAGATCCGCCGCCGCCTGTTGGCTTGCCACAAGGGTGCCTGGCGTGCTGAGGTTCAGATGATTCTTGATTCTTTCAGGGCTCCCCCTGAAGCTTCGGCCCAGCAAGCCGGCCACCCGGATTTTGCAACGCCCGTTGATCTTCCGACTCAAAATGATCCCCAGAGGGTCTTTAAGACAGCCAAGATGGCCCAAGGCGGCCTGCAAGATGCCTCCAAGACGGTCCAAATGGCCCCAAGAGAGCCCAAGATGACCCCAAGACGCTTCTGATACGGCCCAAGATGTACCCAAAATGCCCTCAAGATGGCACCAGACGGCCCAAGAGGCCCCCAGGAGGCCTCGCAGTCGGCCCAAGAAGCCTTCAAAAGGTCCACCAGGAAAGCTCGAAGAGGCCAACATCAATGATGGTCCTTAGGCTTTGAGTGTTTGGAAGATTTAGGCAATTGCTTCTTTTCGGTCGTCTGACGGCCCAAGACGGCCGCGCCCAAAAGGCCTCCAAGATGGCCCCATAACGGCCCAAGAGGCCCCCAAGACGGCCCCAAGAGGGCCCCAAGAAGACCCAACAGGCCTCCAAGACGCACAAAATGGCCTCGCAGACGGCCCTGAAGCGCCCTGAGAGAGCCCAAAGACGGCCCAAAGAGGCCCCAAGGACGGCTTTCGACTGCGTCAGACGTGCAGAGAACGCAATACGACGGCCAAAGAGGCCCCCCAAGAAGTTCCAAATGCTTCCGTGAGGCCAAAGGAGGCCCCCAAGAGGCCCCCCAGTGAACCCCAGGAAGCTCCCTAGAGACCCCAAGCGTGACCCAATACGTTGCCAAGAAGCCTTCTCCTCCATTTTGTTCCTCCCTCTGCGCTTCTTCTTGTTGTTACAATTATGTGTCCTTCTTCTTCCCTTCTTATCATTGTTGTTATTGTTATATTATTATTCCTATTATTACTATTATGGTTGTTAGTATTATTTGTTTATGCTTCTTCTTCGTTCTCCCCTACGTGCTCCTCGAAGGGTGGTTTCCGCAAGGGCTGGGGGGACAGAAAGTCCGATAGCTTGGCCGAGCCATGGCTACAACGTTCGACCGCCTAGGCGCTTCCTAAAAAGGCAGGGGGCGGCGGTGGTTCACCGTGGGTGTCTTCGATGCGCCGCCCGCTGTGGCTTGCCACAGGGGTGCACGGCGTAACGAATGTCAGGTATAAAGGGGCCCTGGGACACACAAATAAATACACACAAATAAAAAGGATTCCCCATATTTTCCCATATGTTTTGGGTTTTCGTCTTCCCCCCAACTTCCCATATTTTCCCATGTTTTCCGGGGGATCGACGATTAATTGTGTCTCTGTGTTGCTTTTCTCTCCCGAATAACGAATGTCAGGTAGTTTTGATTATTCTTGGGATGCCTACTGGGCCTTCGGCCCAACCAACCGGCCATCAGGAAGGACGCGCGAAGACGTGGAAAGACGCGTAAAGACCCCAACGTCCAACAGCATCACCTCCACGAGGACCCGTAAACTTCCCATGTCGTCGGTCTTCCCGCTCAGATGTCCCCAAGATGGCCTCCAAGACGGACAAGATGGCCCCGAAGACGATGGCCCCGGGAGAGCGAAAGATGACCCGAAGACGGCCCAAGAGGCCTCCAAGAGGACTCCACGGCACCCCGAGGAGGCCATAATCAGCGATGTGCCGCCAGTGCTTAAATGCTGGGGGCGCTTGCTCATCGTCGGCTCTCCCACGGCCCAAGAAGCCTTCGAGGTGGCCCCTCGCGGCCCAGGAGGCCCCCAAGACGGCCCCACGAGAGCTCCAAGACGGCCCACGAGCCCCCCAAAATGCCCAGAATGGCCTCCACGACGGCCCTGCGGCGCCCCAAGAGGGCCCCACGTCGGCCCCGAAAGACCCCCCACGACGGCGTCCGAAGGGCCATGAACGCCGTCAGACGGACAAAGGGCTTCCTGAGGAGCCTGTAAAGGTCCCGAACGGGCCCAAGCAAGCCCACAAGAGGCCTTCAAGAGACCACCAGAAAGCTCCCAGGAGGTCCCAAGAGGCCTTCTCCTCCTCCTCCTCCTCCTCCTCCTCCTCGTCCTTCTCCTGCTCCTCCTCCTCCTCCTCCTCCTCCTTCTCCTCCACCTCCTCCTCTCCTCTGGATTCTTCCCTCTACTCCATCTTCTCTCTCCCCCACGTGTTTCCCCGAGGGGGTTCCACAAAGTGCGATAGATTAGCCGAGCTCTGGCCGCAACGTTTGGCCACATAGGCGCTTGCAAAAAGGCAGGGGGCGGCGGTGATTCGACGTAGGCGTCTTCAATTCGCCGGCCCAACGGGCCAGAGGCGTGCTAAGATCTCCGGTAACTTGTTAACAATATTTCTAGTTCGCGCGCGCGGAGCGGCCCCTGGGGGCCCCCGGACGAAAAGTACCCCGGCAAGGTCCCGAGAGAAGCCCGGGAGAAGCCACCAGACCACTCCAGGGGAGGGTATTTCTCGACACCCCTCACGAGGATCGTGGCCTCCGAGGGGGGAGCCGCAATCGACTACCCCCAAGAGCCCCCCAAGAGGCCCTGGGGGCCTCCAAAACGCCGCCAAGGAGCCCCAAAAGACTCCCAAGAGGTCCCCAAGAGGCCCCCAAGAGGCCCTAAAGAGGGCTCCAGGGCCGGCGGCATGAGCGAAGCGATTAATAAAACGGCAGTGCCAGACGCGCCCGATCCATCCTCAGAAGCCCCCTGCCTTCCCAGAGCGCCAGCCCCCTCGTCCCCCCACTCCCCACCCCACCACCACACACTCTCCTCTGTAACGTCAACACATGGCGGTGGGGTGATGCGGCCGCCGCGGCTGCGGTGCGCGGCTATCGTCGCGCCCCCGCGGAGCAACCTGGTGTCATGCGGGGCCGCTTGTGGCAGAGCGCAGCCCGGTCTCCCCCGGCCTGCACGACGCTCTCCTCCACGCACACGCCCGAGTTGCTCCCAGACCCTGCGGGGAGCTCGCAGGCGGACATGTCCAGATGCGCCGATGCCAGCACGGGGCGGAGGCTGGACAGGTCTTTGGCGTGGCCGTCGTGGCGCTCGCCGCTGATCAAGCGGAAGATCTCCCAAGGGACGCCCGAGCCCTCCAGCAGGCCGATCTGCTGCTCGGCCTCTGTGGTGTTTGCCTCGGACTGGTTCGACACGTTGGTGTCGTTCGCCTGCTCCAGGCGCCTATGAGCGGCCTCCGCCGAGGCCGCCCTCGCGCGCTCACGCCGCTGCCTCGTCGTATCCGCGGGTACCATCTTGGCCCAGATGCTGACGTTGCGCCGCGGCCGTCGCGAGCCAGACGCCTGCGAGGTCGGCGAACCACCATCAGCGCACGCAGCCAAGACAAGCAGCACGACACTGGCCCGAGGCATCTCCGTGGCGGCTTGTGCGGCGGGGCCTCCTTTGAGCCAGGAATGCGGCGACGATGATGACGGCGACGACAATAACGACCATGACTGCGCTGAGTGGACGCCGGAGGAGGTTGAGGCGAGGAGCATCGCAGCACTGGGAAAGACTACTCTGAGCAACAGTGTGCGTCTCTGGTATTAGCACCACTGGTGCAACCAAGCTGCAAGAACTCGTCGCGCGTGCTCCCTCTGGTAGGCAAGTAGCCTTTCCTCGAATGCCATCGGCTGGCAACCGTGGCTGTGGCGATTAGAACTCGCATGCCCATGCGGCAGGACCTGCGCCAACGTGCCCTCCTGGCTCGAGGAGGCGTGGTGTAATGCCAAGCGATGTCTGGCAGAGCTTACGGTCAGGAGCTGTTGCTTAGTATGTCGCGGCGGCGGCCCTGGCGACACGCTGTGCCCTGCGAGCTAGTAATGCGTCGCTCCGCTCCGCGGGACGGGAGGGTGGGAGATACTCGAAGCGCGACGCCTGAGAACGGGCCGTGGATCGCGCGTCGCGCCGTGGCGTGGTGGGCCAGAAACGGCGGTGCGACACGCCAAGCCAAAGTGCCTGACCAGATGCAAGTGGTCCATCGAGGTCTCCGAGATAGGGCCCGAGTAGATGGGGTCGGAGGATCGCGCGGCATCGCCGATACATCGGCGATGCATGGGCGATGCAACGGCGATGCATCGTCGACGTCGGCGTTGCATGGGCGACGTTGGCGTGACGCCAATCGGGCTCGGGGTCGAGGCGCATCGCCGATGCATCAGCGATGCGGCGCGAGCCTCCGACCCCATCTGCTCCGACACCATCTAGGGTGCCTCGAAGATGATCCCAAGGCCCCCCCCCCCTTCGCGTCACGTCCCCCCTCCTGAGGACCCCTGGGTGGCAGGACCCCGCTCTGAGGTGTTGCGAGGCCCTTCAGGGATGTCAAGGCGGCCAGGGAAGCCCACCGGGGCCGCCACAGAGTGGCCTCACCATCTGGCAGTTCCCACGAGGCGCCGACGGGCCCCCCCCCAGAGGCGTGCCATGCTGAGCTGGGACACAGGTTTTGAGCCGGAGCCAGATACGAAGAATGCTGCGCTCAAAAAATGCAGGGGCAGACCGTGAGCACACAGTCCGCGGGTCTTCAACTATGCTACGGACATGGGGTATTACAACGCGCGTTGCCATGCTCGGCCCAATACACGTTTGCGCCCGAGCCTCACGTAGAGCAGCAGCCTGCGCTCAAATGCAGCTCGGGCAGGATCCTCGCAAGCAAGGCGGCTGCGCCTGTGACGAACATCGGTTGTGTGCATTATCACTTAGTCTATCAATCAGTCCCCGCACTAATCCATGAATGGAGGGAGGCAGGGAGGGAAGCGGAGACTGAGAAGGAGGAGGAGGAGGAGGAGGAGGAGGAGGAGGAGGAGGAGGGAGGTGGAGCAAGAGGAAGAGGAGGAGGAGGAGGAGGAGGAGGAGGAGGAGGAGGAGGAGGGAGAGGAGAAGGGAAGGAGACAAGAACAGGAGAGGAGGAGGAGACGGAAAGGGGGGGGGGAGGAGGCAGGGGAGGGGGGGAATGTATGGGGAGGGGGGGGGAGGGAGGGATGGAAGAGGGAGGTAGGATAGGAGGGGAGAGGAGGGGACGGAGGAGGGGGGAGAGGAGAGAAAAGGACAGAGGAGGTCGGGAGAGGATGGGATGAGATGGAGGAAGGGGGAGAGGGGCGGAGAAGCGAAGGCGGGAGGAGAGAAGGAGGAGGAGGAGAAGATGGATGAGGAGGAGGAGGAGGGGGAGGAGGAGGACGAGGAGGAGGAGGAGAAGGAGGAAGCGGATGGAGGAGAAGGAGCACACCACAATACCATGACACAATCCGCCGGCCCCCTTGTGGGGCCACCAGGCTGTAGGAGCGGGATTCGCAGTTTCCTGTACCAGTTGTAGCTTGTAGTTTCCAGTGTTACAGTTCTGCTTATTGCTGGTTACTGTAACTAGTTGATTGACCGCGCGAGGGGGGGGAGGCCCAAACCGGCTTTTTAGCACCCCCTGGGCGCGTTGTCTGAATTGCTGGGGGGGCTCGAAATCGACACCCCTCACGCAGATCCGCGGGGTCAGGGTCCAAAAACACTGGGGATTTGCCACATTTCTGAAATTCGGTGCCACCCCTCACGTAGATCCGCGGGGTCAGGGTCCAAAAACACTTGGGATTTGCCACATTTCTGAAATTCGGTGCCACCCCTCACGCAGATCCGCGGGGTCAGGGTCCAAAAACACATGGGATTTGCCACATTTCTGAAATTCGGTGCCACCCCTCACGCAGATCCGCGGGGTCAGGGTCCAAAAACACAGGGGATTTGCCACATTCCTGAAATTCGGTGCCACCCCTCACGCAGATCCGCGGGGTCAGGGTCCAACAACATTAGTATTTGCCACATTCCTGAAATTCGGTGCCACCCCTCACGCAGATCCGCGGGGTCAGGGTCCAAAAACACTGGGGATTTGCTACATTTCTGAAATTCGGTGCCACCCCTCACGCAGATCCGCGGGGTCAGGGTCCAAAAACACTGGGGATTTGCCACATTTCTGAAATTCGGTGCCACCCCTTACGCAGATCCGCGGGGTCAGGGTCCAAAAACACAGGGGATTTGCCACATTTCTGAAATTCGGTGCCACCCTTCACGCACATCCATCGCAAGGCGTGGTAACCCGAACTGCGAGAACTCCCTCGGCCCTTTAATCGCAAGGTGTGGTAACCAAGCCCGTAAACCATACACGTCTTACCAATCGCCAGGTGTGGTAACCCCTCTTGTGATCAGTTGGTTTTGCTGATTGCGAATCGGCTTCGCATGAAGTTTCGATACTGCTTCACGACAGCGCCAAGGCCTCATGACTTAGCTCTTCCATGGCCCATTATCCAAGAGAGGGGGCCGGCGGCAGGGGGCGAAGCCCTTACGGATAACAACAGCACAACAGCAGGTGGACAACAACAAAACAACAAGGACGATGGATGACGAATGCTACGGTCCCGGCCGATCCAAGTTTGTCGAACCTCAAAAACAAAAAAGGACAAACAGGAGCAGGAGCAGGAGGAATGGAGGTGAAGGAGGGATGAGCAAGAAGAAGGAGGGAGGAGGGAGGGGACGATGGAGGGAGGGGAGGAGGGAGGGGTGGGCAGGAGGATGATGATGAGGAGGAGGAGGAGGAGGAGGAGGAGGAGGAGGAGGAGGAAAAGGGCAAGAGGCGGAGGGCAAGGTGAGGACCAAAGGCCCCGCGCGGCCGAGGCGCCCGCTCTGCACCTGCGCCGCCGGCGGGCGGCGGCCTCGAGGCCTCCCCGTCGCCCTGTTGGGGCCGAGCGCGGCGGCGGGGCGCGGCGGACCCCGGCGGGGGGAGGGGGGCCCTCCCCTTAGTGGGCCCTGGAAACGACAGGGCCGGTTTTTTACCGGTTCCGTTTTGCCGTTTTTCTGCCGGTTCCGACGCCGTTTTTTTACCGGTTCTGTCGCCGTTTTTTGGCCCGTTCCGGCTCCGGCTCCAGTCCATTTTTAAGGGGCACTTTTTTGGAAACGGTGAAAAAACGGCCCTGCCGTTTCCGGGGCCCACAAAAGTCCTCCCGCCTCCCTTCTGCCTCGTCCTCCCGTTGCCTTCACTTGCATGCCGTGTATAGGTTCCGTTTAAATTTCATACGCGCTCCACAATTTTGGCTAGACGTGTCGTGCACGGGCTGTGCACATACGGTATACGTTTCGTTAGCGCGTTCGATATGTCCTGGGTGCGCGTCGTAAGCGTTTGATCGACGTCTGAGCACCGCGATCGTGCAACATGCTGTGCTTGATACGTGATTGATACGCCCCGCATGCGTTTCGTAGCGGTGGGTACACGTTCCGTATACGATGTGTCAGCGTGCTGAGCACTATTAATATACGTTTCGTACACGCTCCGTAGACTTAGCGCTTGCA